AGCTAACTGAAAGAGATGATTTTTAGGGCCCGACGAAAAGTCCGGAGGTCGGAGATCACTCGTATCTCTGGGGGTAGATTGTTCCAAAGGGTAGGTGCCACCACAGAGAAGGCTCTCCTCCTGGGGGTCGCCAGCCGGCATTGTCTGGCCGACGGCACCCTGAGGAGGCCCACTCTGTGGGAGCGAACTGGCCAGTGGGAGGCTATTGGTGGCAGAAGGCAGTCCCGTAAGTACCCTGGCCCTAAGCCATGGAGCGCTTTAAAGGTGATCACCAACACCTTGAAGCGCACCCGGAAGTCCACCGGAAGCCAATGCAGCTCGTGCAGGAGAGGAGTCACATGGGAGCGCCCAGTCGCTCCCATAATCCCCCGCACGGCCGCATTCTGCACCAGTTGGAGCCTCCGGTGTACCCCAAGGGGACCCCATGTAGAGAGCATTACAATAGTCCAGACGAGAAGTGACGAGTGCTTGAGTGACTGTGCGTAAGGAGTCCCGATCCAGAAAGGGCGTAACTGGCGTATCAGGCGAACCAAGAGCATATTTCCTGCAAGATAAACATATTCTCAAGAACACAGGAATTACACAGTTCCTTTCTCATGTTCTCAAATGTCAGCTAAATTATATAATCAGGTTATACAAGGTAAAATAAAGCCTTAACATGATTTTAAAATGGCGTAACTCAGGTTATGCTTTTACAGGAATAATTCTTATATTTCTCACAGCTAGGAACGATGTTTTGACTGAAGGCTCCATCCCCCCTTCAGCTCCAAACTGTGTCAAACTAAATTCATGCCAGAATGCCCAAGGATACAAACAATCCCACACCCCTAATCAAATTCAGGCTTGACACCTGTGGCCCCAGGAGAAAATCACTAAATTACTAATTACTAAATCGCTGATCTTGGGCTGGTTACTGAAATGTTTGAATCCAATTGTTCATTTCTTCGTGTTTGTTTATTCGTCTCCATTGTGGTCTTTTTGTTCACATGTCTTCCTTCCCCCCCCTACCCCCCAGTGCTGTTCTTTTATAGGTTATCCTACAAGGTTTTGATTTGGTTGTCATGTATTTGTTTGTATTGCAATTTTCTTTGAGGATTTGCTATCCGCCGAACGACTTGCAATAACTGATACAATTTATGTGGATGCTGGGGGGGTTTGTCACAACAAGAGACACACCTTTGGGTCCCACCCTCCCATCGGTTAATGGGGGGGGGGTACCAATGGTTTTGCTTCCATAATTCTGGGTACAGAGTAAGCTAGCATATCTGAGTCCATGAATCTTGCAGGTTTCAAGGAAAAAAGCATTACGAAGAACGGTTGCAGGAATTGGGTAGGTGTCGTTTAATGAAAAGAAGGAATTGGGGTGACATGATGGCAGTGTTCCAACATTTGAGGAGTTGCCCCAAAGAAGAGGAAGTCAAGCTATTCTCCAAAGCAGCAGTCACCAATTGCTGGTCCGTGGACCACTGGGGGTCCGCGAGAACATTTTGGTGGTCCGCAGAAAAAATATTTTCATTTTTTATATTGCACTAAATCAGGGGTCCTCAAACTACGGCCCCTGGACTGGATACATGCCATGAACGTTTGTGTTGCTGCAGAGAGTCTCCCCCTTTGGGTCTTTTTGTGTGGGTCAGAGGGGGGCAGAAATTCTGACTTGGGTCTGCTTCAGCCTCCTGGTGTGGGGCTTTGGGCGAAGGCTGAAGGGAAGCGCCGCTGGTGGCAAAGAGCCGAGGGCCTCGTTCCAGTGGGACTGCCTCATGGCTGGAACTGGCTGACCATCTCAGCCTGCTGAGCCTCCAGGCGCAATATCTGGTCCTGCACTTACGCAGGTCTTCCCTCTGCTTAGAAAGCCTATGCTCCTAGTCCTCAGTGAGGTGTTTCTGCTGAGCCTCCTTCTCGGTCAGATCCAATTTGAACTGAGCTGTTTTGCCAACTCTTTCTTGTAGTGGCTGCTTAGCTCCAACAACTGCTTCCTGTTGGGGCCCTAAGGAGCCCAGGTGGAGAAGTGAGGAGTGGCTGGGAGGGGAGAGGTGCGTAGAGGCTGGCAAGGTGCCCCTCGACGTGAGTGACATCGCGTTGGCCACCTAGTCACATGACCACCTAGCCACGCCCACCCAGGCAGATCATTAGGCAGATCATATTAGTGGTCCATGGGATTTAAAATCATGAATTTAGTGGTCCCTGAGGTCTGAAAGGGTGGTGATCCCTGCTCCAGAGCACCTGAGGGCAGGACAAGAAGCATGGGTGGAAACTACTCAAGGAGAGAAGCAACTTAGAACTAAGGAGAAATTCCTGATGGTTAGAACCATTAATCAGTGGAACAACTGGCCTCCAGAAGTTGTGAAGGCTCCAACACTGGAAGTTTTTAAGAAGATGTTGGTAACCATTTGTCTGAAGTGGTGTAGTGTTTCCTGCCTGGGCAGGGGGTTGGACTAGAAGACCTCCAAGGTCCCTTCCAACTCTATTATTCTGTCATTCTTTTTAAGAGAAAATTCCCCTTCCCGTCTTCTGGATGCCAGTCCCAGGAAAATTCCCTTGCATTTATTTCCTCATGCAGGAGAAATCATTGTTATGTCCCCATTACTCAGAATAAAATTTAGTGAACTCATTGAAAAATTGATGAGCAGAGCGCTGGCGTTCATACTACCCACCATTTCATTAATTTAATTACTTCTCCATTGCTAAGAGCAGGTTTTATCGGGTTTAATGTATCTATATATATATATTTTATCATAAAGGGGTTATTTCGTAATGACGATTAGAAATTCATCACGCTATGCCACGAATTCCTTAGAGTAAGACTTGGTTAGGTTTTTAATATGTATCTTCCTGGTATAGTCTAATTTGATTGCCATTCCTTGACGCCTTTCCTTTTTTTGATGTTTAAGCACAATAGCAAACCCCCAAAATAACTTTTCCAAGGATCTTTTCAGCAATGGGGTTATATTGAGTGAAGAAAAGTGACAGGGAAATGTTTGGAGCAGTGATGGCATTCGGTTGGTTCAGGCCGGTTCGGGCCAACCGGTAGTTAAATTAATGTCTGACTCTGCCCCTCCCTGCCCCTTCCAGGTGTCCCCACTTGATTCATTTTGGCTCCCAGGTAAGTGCAGGGAGGCCTCCTAAGCAGTGGTGAAATCTAAAATTTGTTACCACCGGTTCTGTGGGCGTGGGGGGGGGGGTAATGTGACTGGGTGGGCATGGCCAATTTTTTATTATTATTATTTTTAAAACCATTTTTTACATGTAAAACGTCAGAGCTTGGATCGTCAGAGCCATTTAAAAGAAAAAAAAGACTCTGATGATTGTGCGGCCAGCTGGGCATGGGGGGCGGGGGCAGGGATTTTTGCTACCGGTTCTCCGAACTGCCCGCCGCCATCGCTACCTACTCGCCCGAGCCGGTCTGAATCGGGAGCATTTCACCCCTGCTCCTAAGCCCAAAATGGGACCTGGGGAGGCGGCACATCCCCCGACGGCCCGTTTTTGCTTCCAGGGGGGGTGCAGGAGACCGAGTGTTGCCTGTCACATACCCTAGCCACGCCCACCCTGGCCATGCCCACACAGCTGGTCATTAGGGCAGAGATCCGGTGGTTAAATTATTTGAATCCCATCACTGGTTTAGAGAGATCCTTTATTCAGTCTTTCAGCAGACAGAAAGCAGTGGAGGATTGTGAAAAATTTTTTGTGGCCCAGCCGTAGCTGAAATACCTGTTTTGGGGAAACAGGTTCCAGAGATTCTTTTGGGACAGAAAGTGAGATGCAATTGAGCATGAGATAGAAAGCAGAAAAAGCCGATATGCTATCCTGGGAGAAAATGACGCTTTCTTCAAAAACCCCGTTAGGAGTAGAATTTATTTTCACTTCTAAAGCTTGTTCTCACTTTATATATATTTTCTGATGATTGAAGAGTGTAGAGAGAGTAGATGCTGGGGTTCCATCGCTGGGAGATTTATTCCCAGAGATAACAACAACAACAAAAAATCTCCATCAAAGAAGAGATGAGTTAGAGGAAGGTTTTCTGCAGCTGGGAAATAGGATCATGAAGTTACATTAAATCCCAGATGCTAGGAATGTGTTAATCCTCAAAAGTAGGAGATGCTCTACAGATTTGAGGAATCTTTGATCCTTGCTAGCACTGATGATGTTACCTAGTTTGGGTCATGAAACATCGACGAGAAAAGTCCGAAAGGAGAAGGGCGGTATAGAAATTCGAAAATAAATAAAACCACCAAGCTCAGAGAGCACTGAGGAACTCTCATTTCATCCTCAAGCTCCAAAAATATTCTCCTTTACGGTACAGAACTCCTTGAGGAAAGTTAGTGCTTTTCCTTTCTTATTAGATTCATCTGTTTTGGTGTATCTTGTCGTTGATTATGGCCACTATTCCAAAGGTGCTTTTTTCAAAAGGCAAGTGGACGTTGGTTTTTCCTTGAAGACGTTTCGCTTTTCATCCAAGAAGCCTCTTCAGAACTGAAGAAGCTTCTTGGATGAGAAGCAAAATGTCTTTAAGGAAAGACAAAATCCAGTTCATCATCTTTTAATGACCCCATAATCCTTTGCGGGGTGGAGTCTGGGCAACTGAATGGAGCTGAGTGTTTGCTGGCCGGATGCCTTTCCTGTCGCCAATGCAGAGTCATATTCAGCAGATATATTCTCATTGTGCCCAGAGAGAGAAATATCTACCTAGGATCGAACTCACAGCCTCCTGATTGTGAGGCAAGAGCTCCACCTTTAGGTCACCGCACCACTCAAAAACAAAGTCCAGTTGACATTTGAAAAAAAAGCACCTTTGGGACAACCATGATTTGGATGACTGAGAATCTCCACAGGTCAATGTTTTCTCTCATCTTTGAGAGACCAGAAATCCCGGATGAAAGTCATGTTGTTGGCTTTGTCAAATAAGACGGTACCATCTCCAACTCTAATCCATGTTCCTTTCCTCCTCTTTTTCCCCTCTTCTCTTTCCCTTCCCACGTTCCTCTCTCTGCCTCT